ATTTTTTGTATATTATTTAAAATTGATGTTTTAATGTCTAAATTAGATCTAAATTAGATCAAAAAACATAAGGCAAATTTTTTGTATATTATTTAAAATTGATGTTTTAATGTCTAAATTAGATCAAAAGCCCTTCTAAGGGCTTTCAGCCCTTAGAAGCTCTATTTCTGAGTCCTTCAGTTTAAGCTGACTGTCTTGAAGATGAGACAGCAGAAATATAATTCTTCTAAAAGATAGCACCACTTAATCTTAAAATTAAATCTTGAACCTTAAATCTTAAAAAATATATGCAGTTAGAAGAGAATGAGTACATTTTAAGAAAGTATGGTTTGGAAAAATTATGGTGATACCCGGGAAAATCAATGCTCTACCTAAAAGGATGGGGGTTGGGGGTGGAGGTGGACTAAAAAGGATTTATAAACCATGATTCTGAACAAGTTCTACTATATTAATTGCAATCAAAAGCTAGAAAAGTATATATGTGATACTCTTTTCTTAGTAATCTTAACTGTTGCAGTATTCATACACCTAAATAGAAAAAGACAAAAATAGTAGTTTGCTACTTAAACCCATTCTTCATAAGATTAGCAGCCAAATAACTATGTTTCAGCAGCCACATACTTTTCTTACAGAAAGAAAAACATATGGTCCACACCAGAGTATCTTATAGAAAATAACAGAGCATCCACCAAACTTTGTGAGACTAAATTAAAAGCTTCATTTCTTCTGTAAGCTTCTCCCATAGTTACCCTCCAAAACTTAAGACCAAAATGGCAGAGACTTGATTTCCTGCTGGAAAAGACAATTGTTTGATATCAATGTTACTACAGGATCCAGGGAACCGGATAAGCCCGAGAAGAAACCAATTTCAAAAACTCATTTAAATATTCATGATGGTAGAATAGGATGAATAAGGGAAAAACAGTGCCATGGAGGCAAATGCATAAAATATAACCCTTTTATAATTAGATAGACTATACAGATATATAAGCAATTTACACTTCACAAAGATTCTTTGATTTTTGCCTCAATTCAGAAATCAAAATTGTTCTACACTATGTTATTATTTTGTAGAAGAAGAAACGCACAAATCACTTTACAAAAATAAAAGATAAAAGAACAAATCTGAAGAACATTATCTGATTTTAAGAGTTACTATAAAAAGCTACAATGATTAAGATCATGAAAGTGGAGTACTGGCAAAGAGAAAAACACAATGGAGCAGATTAATAATCCCAAACATATATGGTCTATAAAGGTGTTGAAAACAATTCAACAGAGAAATAAAACAGCTTTTCCAAAAAATGATAGTGGAAGAAATGGACATCCATATGTTTAAAAAAATAAAAAAAAAAAAAAAAGCAAACTTTGACCATAACTCAAACCATATATTCAGTGAAAGAGTAAGAAAAAAGTCAAAGGGATAAATTTCATTAAGGGCAGATCTTTAATTTAAAATTAATTATTATACAATTGCTACCTTTTGCCACTAAATGGTAGAAATGCCTATATTTATCTCTCTTCATTCATTTGATAAATATTCATTACAAATTTCCAATTACTCAGAATCAAAAAATGTTAAACCCACAAATTATTCTACTTGGGAAAATATACTATTCTAATTAGAATATGGTAAATAAAGGAAACAGTATTTAATTAACTACAGTTGTGTCAAAGAGAAAAGTAAAAACAGGGCCTGGCATAGTGGCTCATGTCTGTAATCCCAGGGCTCTGGGAGGCCAAGGTGGCTTATCACCTGAGGTCAGTAGTTAGAGACCAGCCTAGCCAACATGGTGAAACCCCATCTCTACTAAAAATACAAAAAATAGCTGGGCATGGTGGTGGGCAGCTACCCAGGAGGCTAAGGCAGGTTAATTGCTTGAACCCAGAAGGCAGATGTTGTAGTGAGCCAACATTGCATCACTGCACTCCAGCCTGGGTGACAGCGGGACTCCGTCTCCCAAAAAA